CTTAAGGTTGTCCTCCATATCATATAGCATATGACCCCAATTCCAAATGCATTCAATAAAACAGGATAAAACTCAAACAGGAACACATTACTACTTACAGAATTAGGCATGGCTGCACAAGAATACAAGGTATCTCGACCTGCTAATCGCTGGATATTCTCCAAAAGCAGTCCAACAAAGGGGAGGTACAATTGTGCTATTTTGGCTTGTTGGTTCTGAAAAATAATTATCAAAAGTTTAATAGGTATATAACATGTATATATTACAAATAAATGACGTTGGCTTCATATATAAATTTAGAGACTAAAAAGTAAGCTAACATCCATGACAGATTAGTGAAGCATGAGTCTATTTATACTCGTAGTCTGAAAACTAATTACCACAGAACTTTGTTGGCATTTGGATTTATCCATGATACAGAGTCAAATTACATCCCTCAAACGTAACTATATAAAATAAAAAGGGTTTTGTAAAAAATAGAAGTTGGCCTATAAAGCAGATGATATTAGTTCTGTTTTTCAACTCCAGTGAGGGTTGAGCTTCCTGAGAGCAGGGACCGTATCTGTCTTGTTCACTGCTTCATCCTCAGTGCCTGGGCACATAGCAGATGGTCAACACACATTAGCTGAATGAATGAGTAAGTGGAAGAAGTAAAAAAATGTTACGTTACTATATTCATTCAAGAAACATTTTTTGCTTCCATTAAAGCTGCGATTATAATATGAACTTGGCTCCCTAAGTCAATTATAAGACTTGGGAGATTGATATATTTGTAAATATGTAAATAAAACTGGCCACCGGGACTCTTAAATAATGTGGTACCTCTCATACCAATTTATTTATTACTCTCCTCAGCTTATAGACATTCCTTGCCAGACATGTATATACACTTAAATCAGAGAAAACAGTGGCTGTGGTGGCACAAGAGTTGCCCTCCATATTTCATGACTTTAGGAGGTTTTTCTGGAGAATTAGATAAGGCCTCTACAGCAAAATGATCAACTTGTAGAATAAAGAAGATGACTGGTCTCTTACTGTTGTTTTAGTCTGCATTTATTAATTTTTCATGTGTTAATTGGCCATTTGAACTTCATTTGTGAATTTCAAAAACCTTCTTAACAGACTTCCTTCCAACATAGTACCCCATTAGTAATAGTCTCTACCACCAGAAGATTCGGATTTACTGGGTCTGGGCTGCCCCAGATGCTGCTGATGTACATAAATATTTCAGAACCACTAACCTAGTCCAACTTCCTGCCAAGACAGGAATGAATGGCCTTTACATGTATCCTTGACAAATAGTTTTTAAAACTTCTTTAAAACTCCAGCCCTTTCATGGGTTCTATTAGAAAGGTTCTTTATCTGAAATATACTCCTCATAAGTTCTACCTCCTAGGTATAGCTCTGCCCTTCGGAGCTAGAAAAAATAAGTCTACTTCTACTTTTGCATGACAACCCTTTAAATATGTGAATACAGTTACCAGGAATCATCTTAACTCACTCATTTTTTTTTTCTTTTGAGACTGAGTCTTACTCTGTTGCCCAGGCTAGAGTACAGAGGCACAATCTTAGCTCACTGCAACCTCCACCTCCTGGGTTCAAGAGATTCTCCTGCCTCAGCCTCTAAAGTAGCTGGGATTCCAGGTGCATGCCACCATGCCTAGCTAATTTTTGTATTTTTAGTAGAACCAGGGTTTCACTATGTTGGCCAGGCTGGTCTCGAACTCCTGACCTTAGGTGATCCTCCCTCCTTGGCCTCCTAAAGTGCTGGGATTACAAGCGTCAGCCACCATGCCCAGCCTTAATTAATTCTTAACAAGGCTAAATAACTCTCATTACTTTCCTTTATTCCATGGCCTTGGGGTCAACAATTTTCACTTAGTGATTAGCCCTTTTTTGATGGTTCTCTAATTTTTCAATGTCCCAGTTGAGATTTGAAAGGCAGTATAGCTAGTGTGAGATTTGAAAGGCAGTATAGCTAGCGGCTGACAGCACAGATTTGCAGTTAGAGACATGAACAAAACCCAGCTCTCCCATTACTAGCTCTTGATTCCAATCAACTCACTTACCTATAGTTTTATCTTTGGTAAAATGGGGGTGATAGTAATGATATCAATTCATGTGAGGTATTTAATATAGTGTTTGGCATATAGTGAGTCCTCAATAAATTTTAGCTGCCATTAATATTATGGCTTCTATATAGGAGTCCATTTTAGTTCTGATAGTGAGTGATCTCCAGGGGAAGAGAAATGACAACTCTCTCAGGCAAGTAAGAGCATAGGAAAACATGCAGTCATTGCCAAATATGTTACAAAATTTGCCTGCACAACAGATAGACCATAATCTAAGAATCTATTAATAGAAGACTACTTAGATAAAGTATATCCATATGATAGAATACTATGCAGCTACTTTTTAAAATGCAGTAGATTTAATCTTCAGACTGTATTATTAAGTGAAAAAAGAAAAATGCATAATGGTTTCCATTATATTTTATACATATATAATATGTCATATAGGCTTGTGCTTGCATAAAAATAGAAATATAAATAAATTTACAAGAGTAGTTGCTTCTGAAAAGATGAATTGGTGAGGGGAGGTAAGGAATGGGAGACAGGCATTTTGATTTTTGTTTTCCACCATGCATGTGTATTACTTTTTCAAAAAAGGAAAAAAGATTTGCCCACAGCCCAACTAGAAGTAGAATCTGCAATTCTCTTAGTTATCAACATTACTTGTAGTGGGTACAAGAACTATATAGGCCCCAGGGTAAATATTAGATATTGGACATTCTTGTTCTGAAAAGCAAAAAGTCTCATGGTAATAATAAGAAGATACATTGCTAGTTTATGAGTAATACATAACAGAGACCAGTGATCTCTCCAGAATTTCATAAAAGCAGGGGCTTAGGAGTGGCAATTGGATGGAAAGGGTGGGGATGATTAGGGAGTTGAGTGTCAAAGCAGGCTT